CCCGAGAAAGATGGTCCCAGATGCTCCTCGATGGTCCCCATCGAGACAGCAACGCACACGCCCGAGCGATGCCGAGTGCAGTGATGTGTACTGGGGAACGCCCCCCCCCGCCCCATTCCACTGACCGGAACTGCCGCCAACCGAAAAATACCAACTACGGTAGACCTGGCTTAGTGACTCCAGTCCATATTTTGGACCTCGGGGCCCAATCACTAACTGGCTCCCCTTACCCGGGCCCTGGCTATCCCCGACAGATGCTCCTCGATAGTCCTCACCGAGAAAGCAGCGCACGCGCCCGAGCGATGTCGAGTGCCCGAGAGACCAAGGGTAATGGGGCTGGCGGCAGAGGCGGAGCCCCGCAGATAAGCCCGACTGGGCACCCCTCTCGGCATGGAGGCCCCCGTCGGACGTGCACAATTGGAGGCTCGGGAATGAGCACCAACACCAAAACCGGGGGGGTGCGTCCACCGGGAGAGGATGATCCTAGATGCTGCTGTTGGTGGTAATCTTTCGGCCAACTAGGAAGCCCGAATGTTACCCCGATCGCCGAGATTGAGATCCTCCTCCCTTGGTGGAGGCACACCGCCGATATTGATGCCGGTGCCAACCTCTAGGCTTCCGATACAAGGAGATTCAGCTCTGAGCACGATGTCAGACGAAGGCGGGACGAGGACAATGTCGGGTGAGGACAAATCGGGGATCTCCGGTATGCGGCGGCTCTGGAGGATGTCTCGGGCGCCGCGGCCTTCTCCGAGCGTTCCAGAACGCTCTCAGAGCGTTCCGGAACGCTCTGGAACGGATTTATCCTCGTCCTAGCCCCGCCCGACGCTGGCCCACCTCTGAGCAGGCAGGTCCAGCCCTAAGCAAGGGGATCCACATTTCGGAAAATAGGCAACGAGAGGCTTCTTCGCCTCATCCTCCTCCTACCCCGAGCGGCCCCCGTCGGACGTATACGAGGATATTCAGCTCTGAGCACGCTGGCCCACCTCTCAGCAGGGAGGCCCAGCCCTATGCAAGGGGATCCACGTTTAGGAAAACAGGCACCGAGAGAGTCCTTCGCCTCATCCTCCTCACGGATCCTCTCGGCGGCGCGCACAAGGGGGTATAGGGGGAGGGAGGAAGGCGTCTTAGACTTCTTCAAAGGCGCCAGCCTTGCGTCTATAGATAATAGATAAGGCACGCGCCTTCGAAGAAGCAGGGAGCTTCTGAGAAGCCTTCCCCCCTCCCCCCCGCCCCCCCTCTGCGCGTGGCCGATCCTCCCACCCCCGAGCGGCTCCTGCTGCAGCGTCCCCCGGGAGGCCGCGCCCTGGTGCTCTGGTTTGTTTCGAGACCGCCCCGGGCTGCCCAGGGGGGTGGGCCTATCGAGGACCCTGGACCAGGGATCGACCAGAACAGTGTTTTTCGTCTTCGTTATGTTTTCGTTGTTCCTCGTTTTGTCTTCAGTCCACCTTTGCTGCAAAACGAAGTCAAAACGAAAAAGGCCCACGAAAACGCGAAGACACGGTTTAGGTCGAGCCCTGCCCTGGACTAAATCTGGGGGGCTGCCTGTGCGCAACCCCGAGCCTCGTCACTCCTGCTGCCTCCCCATGGCAACTGCATGGCAACAGCATGGCAATCGCATGGCAATAGCATGGGAATTGAATGGCAACTGCACGCAATTGCATGGCAACTGCATGGCAAGTGCATGGCAACTGCATAACAATAGCACGGCAACTGCATAGCAACTGCATGGCAATTGCATGGTAATAGCATGGCGACTGCACGGCAATAGAATGGCAACTGCATGGCAGTAGCATGGAAGCTGTAGGGCAACAACATGGCAGTTGCATGGCAACTGCATGGCAACCGCATGGCAACATCATGGCAACGGCATGGCAACGGCATGGCAAGTGCATGGCAATCGCAGGGCAATGGCATGGCAAATGCATGGCAACAGTATGGCAATCGCAGGGCAATAGCATGGCAACTGCATGGCATTAGCATAGCAACTGCATGGCAATTGCATGGCAACAGCATGGCAAGCACATGGCAACTGCACGGCAATTGCATGGCAACTGCATGGCAACAACATGGCAGTTGCATGGCAAGTGCATGGCAATCGCAGGGCAATGGCATGGCAAATGCATGACAACAGCATGGCAATGGCATGGCAACTGCATGGCAACAGTATGTGCAAGTTCATGGCAAAAGCATGGCAACTGCATGGCAATCGCATGACAATAGCATAGCAACTGCATGGCAATATCATGGCCCGCCCCCCCCTCCACCCCGCCCCTCCGCGCCCCCTCCACCCTCCCCGTCCACACCGCATCTCCCCCCCCCATCCACCCCCCCTCCACCACCCCACCCACCCACCCCTGGAGCCTCCCAGAGGGCCCCCAAGGCTTCCAAGAGTGCCCCAACAGGGCCCCAAGAGGCGCCCAGCAAGCCCCAAGAGGCCTCCAAGATCCTCCAAGAGTTTCCCGAGCGGCCCCTCAAAGGCCCCAAGAGGCTCCCCCGAGGCACCCAAGACGCTCGAAGAGGCCCCCTGGGACTGCCAAGGGGCCCCAAGACGCTCCAAAAGGTCTCCAAGAAGCTCCCAAGAGACATCTCAAGAGACTCCGAGGGGCAGCCAAGCGGCCTCTTGCCCTTCTGCTCGCCCTCCTCGTCCTTATCCGCCTCGTCTAACTTCTTCTCCCTTCTCCCTGTTCTTCCATTTTCCTCCTCCATCTCCTCTTCCTCCGTGTTTTTCCATCTCCTCCGATTCATCCTCCATCTTCCTCCTGTTGGGGTATAAAGGCTTCCCGAGCCCTTGGTTTTTCTGTATGCCCACTCCCCCCGCTTCTCTGATCAGGGCAACTCGTCTGGGCATCGTTGTTGAATGGGCTGGTGGGGATACTTTTTGGTACATGGGCGCGCGAAACCAAGTCGAACGCCGAGCAAGCTAAGGCTGGTGGGGATACTTGTTTTGATCTGCGGCTCCAAGGACGATTCCAGACAGCGGGTCGGATGGTGGGGATACGCGAAGTGTCAAGAGCATGGCGCAGGCATGGCCATAGTATGGCACTAGCGTGCCAATCTCACAGCAGTAACATAGCAGGGCCACAGAAAAGGCTAAACTAGAAAACCATACCAAAAACCAGCCTAGCCTCCTGCTGCTCCTCCCGATTCCGGTTCCGATTCGGATTCCGATTCCTTCTCCCCCTTCCTCCTCCAGGCAACACCGCCGAAGCCTCACCCCCACGCCCCACACACACACACACACACACACACACACACACTCGCCCAACGATCTCATCAACTGTTGTCTTGATTCACGTCCAAACCAAGGCGATGACGCGGCACAAACGACGCTGGGCCATACCTTATGAGAAACATCCTGGAGGCCTCGCGCGGCAACTTGAGAGCCAATTTACGTCGGATCCACGTCGGAACGCCGCGCGAACGTCAATCCAGATCTTACGGAGCGGACGCGCGCCGCGTGAGGCCTCCAGGATTTTCCTCACAACACACCCACCCTGGGTCCTGGACCTGCTCTATCGTTACCCGTCGGTCTCAAGAAGTAGGTAAAAACGTGAAATAGGAAGGCGGATCAAGTAGATTGGGTTCAGGCCTTCCCAGAGAATCACGAAACACAGCAAACGCAGATCGGTTCTTGAGGTATGAAGGCGGTTGAAGTAGATTGGGGTCTGGGAATCCAGAAATACCTACTTTCAACGACCGATGTGTCATCCTGCCCCCAGCCGCAGGATCGGGAGGAGGTGGAGGCGGGCCAGCACACGCCGCGGCTCACTTCTTCTTCACGTACGCGCTCTTGCCCTCGGGGCCGCCTTCGGGCTGCCACCGGATCTGAATGGTATGCTCATGGTCGTCTGGCCGCCCTGAAGGCCATGCTCGTAGACAGCCATCACCCGGGCAACTCCAACATAGGACATATGGGGGGCCATCCTGAAGGAAAGCATCCCATGGGCGCGCCGAACCACCCAGGGGGTCGGGCTTCCGCGGAAGAAAAGAAATCCGACCAGGGGGGCCCGGGGGTTCAGGCATGAGTCGCGGGGGCGATAGACAGTCACTCTGAAACGGTTGGCCAGCCTTTTGTGCGCCTCGTGCAGTGCGGGAGATGGACCGAAAAACTGTGCTGGTTTCGCAGAAGGCTGCCGACGAAGCCGTGGGCCAGAAAGACAATACTATTATGTTCCGTGTGCGCAGCGCAGATGTGCGAGCCGCGCAAGAAACTCTCCAGGATAGGGAAAAACCCAGGTGGTCCAGGGCCGATCGGCTCCGACGGTGTTACGCCTGGCGAGCTCTTGTTTGGTTTCTCCCCCTCGCCCTCAGGGCGGCGCGACGACCATGGTGGGATGTTCATATATGTGTTTCGGCGGGTTCGCGTCGTGCTTCTTCACAGTCTTGTCGATGCCAGCCCTCTTGCAGAAGTCGAGGACGTTCATCGTCGACTCGTACTTGCTCTTGGGAGGCTCCTGCTCTGTCATGGGCATGTAGATCTTGCTGTTTAGCGGCATGGCCCGTCCTCTTGACACCACTCCCACCGCACGCCTGAACCTGCCAGCAAGCTGCAGAGCCCTGTCGGGACGCCCACGCGCGCGAGCACGCGTCGGGCCTCCCGCGGTTCCGGAACCGAAATGTGGCGGCGATGGCGACGCATACAATACGATGAGGGCATTGGATAAGGAACCATTGGATAAGGAAACCAGGGTCTGGAAGCCCGTGGGACCCCAATCGTGGGTTGCCCATGGATATCACCGCCGACCTCGTCAGATAAGAAATCCTCCAGCGTCTGATCTTCCTGGGCGCATTCCTTAACGAACACCCCATCGTAACGACGATAGTGATGTGCATGACGGTACGTAGCCGTGCAGGCAATCGGAGTGGACGGATGCGAGCTCGACTGCCGACTGGCCCGCGTCGGTGCTTCCCTTCATCTCGGCAGCGCGCCCGGGGGGGACGTGAGAGGGGGCAGGCCTTCTCAGAAGGCGGGGCTTCCCGAGAAGCTCACCGACCTTCTGAGAAACAATCTCTCCCAGGCCGAGCATTCCCCCCTGGGCTCGCCGCCGGCACGTTCTAGCGAGTGACCTTCTGACAGCAGAAAGACAAACTGTTGAGCTCCGCGCGGATTTCTTGATCTGCGCTGGACCCTCCTCTGTGGCGCGCGGAGTGCGCCAGGGGCGGCGCCAGAGGCGCAGCCCGAGGGCTCCAGCGCAGATCCAAGAAATCCGCGCGGAGCTCAAACAATGTATGTATGCAAGGTTTCGTTACTCGGCTTCTCGAGCGGCCACGCTCGTGAGCCTGCGTGGCCGATCGGTGTCCAGCTCGTCTTGAGGGGGCGGGTTCCTCGACCGGGTCGCGCTCGCGAAGCTTGCCACGATTCGTTCCGACTGCCATGCGCTGGCGCCTGGCCGAGAGAATCGCCGCCTCTGCCCATCGCTCGCACAGCATACCGATCCGAAGGCGACTGCGCCGAGATGACGGGCGTCAAGCCTTCTTCCCTTCCCTCAGTCCTCCTCTTGATCTGTCTCTGCTTCTCGCTCTCCCTCTCTCTCTCTCTCTCTCTCCTGGCGGCGCGCACATAGGGGTAATGGGGGAGAGGGGGAGGCCTCTAAGAAGCAGGGGTGTTTCTAAGGAGCCTTTCCCCCTCCGCCTACCCCTCTGCGCGTGGCCGACTCTCTCTCTCTCTCTCTCTGTCTGCGTCTGTCTGTCACTCTGTCTGCCCGTCTGCTCGGCCGTGCCCGCATGCGCCCGCCTGCTTGCAGTCCCTTTTACGATTTTCTCTGGCGGGGTCCCTGTCTTCACCTCGACCTCTGCCTCTTCCCCGTCGATGTCGCCCTGCCTGCTCTGCACTGGATCTGTGTCTCTCCCTCTGTCTGTCTCGACCGCCCGTCTGCCTGTCCGCCTGTCTGCGCACCTATCCGTGCGTGCGTCTGTCAAGTCACGTTGGTGGCGCGCTAGAGGGGCCCAGGGCGAGGGGGGGTCGGATAGGAGACCAGAGAACTCCATAGAATGGCTCGCGCTCTTGCGAACCATACGCCCCCCACGCGCGCTAAAAAGCTGGGGGCGTCTGAGAACGCCGCCCCCCCCTCGCCCTGCACGTCTGAGCACCGCCACGTTTGCCTGCCTGCCAGCCTGTCTCGGACTGATCTCCCCTTCGCCTTTCCTCCAGGTCTCCCAATCCCCAAAAAGAAGAAAGAGGGAGAGACATACTGGAGATTGAAGTGAACGCATCACGGGGGAATCATTAATATCAAACCCACCAACCGTCAGAACCGACGACGTGGACTCACCAGGGAAAAATGAAGGGGGGGTCGCAAAACTGACAGAAACACCTCCCTCACCACTAAGAGAGGGTCACAAAAAACTGACGACCGCCCCCTAGGGAACTGCGGGGATATTGCAGCGAAGAGGAGGGGCTGGGAATTCTGACGACGGCGCGGCCGCCTGACACGTTAGTCCCCTTTGCCGAAAGTGAACCGACGATGGCGCGGCCAGAAAACCTCTAAGTCGCTTTCTATTGTAGTCGCGCTAGTGATGTGAAAGTGGGGGCAGGGAGGAAGAGGAGGAGGAGGAGGAGGAGGAGGAGGAGGAGCAGCAGGAGGAGGAGCAGGAGCAGGAGGAGGAGGACCAGCAGCGGCAGCAGCAGCAGCAGGAGGAGGAGAAGGAGGAGCAGGTAGAGAGAGGCACAAGTGGAGAGGATACATACACACACAAAGCATAGCATGAATACGCAGACATGCCAGCGACAAGGAGCAAGATAGATGAAACAACAGACAGGGAGCGAGAACAACTGCCAGACAGACTGAATGAGGGGGACAAAGATAATTGAGCGGTTCCTGTGTTCACGTCGGTATGATGCCGCATTTCCACTTGAACGGTCTGGTGCGGTGCCGAACGATGGAGTCGTGTGGTGCCGCGCATCGAGGTGCAGAGTCCGATCTGGTGGCCTGGTGCCGAATGGTGGTGTGCAATGGTGCGGTAGGGTGTCGTGTGCACTTTGGCAGCCCCCGGTGCCGAGCGGTGACATGCAGTTCCCCGTTTGGACTGCCTGGTCAGGCTCGCGTGATACTGCCGTCTAGGTCTCTGGGTGCCTCGCAGCGAATCCGTGGTCTGTCGGGGATGGCCCCGTGGAGACGGGGGTGGCACATTTCATCTCGGCGTGGACCGCAGGCGCAGAGCTGAGACGTTTGCACGGGATGCCGATGGCGCACACACGGAACTGCCCTACTTCAGGCTCCATGGCGACACCACGCGTCCCTGGGCGGGGTGGAGCACTCAAGCCCCGATCGGCGACTGCTAGGCGACTGGGGGTCGATGTCTCCTCGCCTGAAAAAGTCCCTCGCTGCCGGCTGCGCCGCGGACGGCGCCCGCCTGAGGATCACGCGGCTGTGCCGCGGACCCTGCCCGACCGCGCCCGATATCGCACAGGGCTGGCTGAGGGTGCCGCCGCGGACGGTGTCCATGCGAGGCAACCCACAAAAAGTGCCCTTCCTCCTCCTCCTCCTCCTCCTCCTC